TGTGATGTGCAAGAGGAATTCGGAGGTGGCGGGTAATTTATTCCTTCATTGCTCGGTGGCTTTTGCATTATGGCAGCATCTTTTTGGCTTATGCGATGATCAGTAGCTTGCTCTGTGGGACTGCATTCAAATGTTTCTTGTTAAGTTCAAAGGGTTTGGTAGCACCAAAAGAGCCAAAACACTGTGGTCAAGCATTGTTTTTGCTATTTTCTAGACTATACGGTTGGAGAGAAATGCAAGAATCTTTGATGGCAATGAATCAAATGTAGAGGCTTTGTGGGATAGGGTGGGATATTTGGCTTCGTATTGGGCATGTGTATCCCCTTATTTTAAAGGAGTCCCTTTGTTCTTGATCTCTAGGGATTGGGCTGCTGTTTGCCAGCCTTAGTGCTAGGAGTTTTATGCTTTTGTTTTGTTCTTTCTCCTTTTTTGTATGAGGACTTCTTGTCCTCTTTCATTTTTCTTTTTTAATAAATTTTTTGTTGATGCTCAAAAAAAAAAAAAAAAAAGGAAGAAATGGAAGGAAAGGAAAGGCATTTTCATTGGTTTTCCTAGGAAAGGAAAACAAAGAAAAGACTATGGTAGTGTTTGGTAGAGTTTTAGAATTATGATTTGAGAATAGAGTTATATTTTGAGTTTGTGAGTTTTGGAATTATGATTTGAAAAGAGAAAATTTGTTTGGTTATGAGTGTTGAATTTTTGATGTGACATATAAAATGAGAAAAGTTGTTTGGTTATGAGTTTGAAAAGAGTTTTCAAAATTTAATTGAAAAACTTATAACTCATAATCAAATACAATCCAAAACACTATTGAAAATTCTATTCAAAACTCATAATCAAACTCTTTTTAAAATTCAATTCAAAAAAATAATTTGTCGTTTTGGTCTAAAAAAATAATTTCCATACTTAAAAAATATAAAAAACAAATATAATTTTTTTTCCCCCAAATAACAGGTGGTCATTGGCAATTGCAAAAAAAAAAAAAAAAAAAAAAAAAAAATTGTTCCCGTCAATCGGCCGAACATCTGGGAGGATGTCCGGGCGGACGACCGGGTATGTATGAAAAGGTGAAAGCTTTGGCTTGGAAGGAGCTCTGCCGAACGTGCAACAAAACTGTGTTTTGAAATGTGTGGTGGAATTAATATTTGAAAACTCCATCCAAACAGAGGCTTCACGTGAAGGGTTGGAATTATGATTAGAGTGACCAACCAAACATAGCCTAAGGCCCTGTTTGGGGACTTACTTTTTTAGCCAATTAGCCAAAAAGTTACTAAATTAGCCAAAAAGCCAACAACTCATACAAAAAAGTCAAAGATTCTCTTTTCTCTCTACTTTTTGCACATCTTTTTGTAATTAGCCAAAAAGTCATCCCAAACATACAAGTTTTTTTTACGTACCTTTTTAGCCAAATAGCCAAAAAGTTACTAAATTAGTCTGTTCCCAAACGAGGCCTAAATATTGCTAAGATTGTAGATACAAATGTCATAATGTATAATTGGTGGAAAAAATATTTGATGTTGACCGTCACGTGTAGGTTTCAAAAAACAAACATTATAGAGATATCATTGGAGATGTAGAATGTTAACATTATTGTGAAGAATCAATAGGGTATTAGGAGAAGATGTAAAGTTACAAAGAGAAATAGAGACAAACTCTGCCCTCAAGCTCAATTTGTATCTCCTCCATTCCCAAGTTTGCCCTTTTTGCTCGTATGTGAGTTGGCTCTTTACTCTTTCTCTAGCAACTAATCCACCTAGATACAACCTGTGTGACCTCCAGATAGTTTTATCAATGATTCATCGAAAAGAATTTATGCAAGCAAATTCTGTTAAAAGGTAGGGTCAAGATTTGGGTAATTATCAACTTATAGACGAGTTAGAAGTAAAACCAAGTTGGCCTAGTGGGCAAAACTTGGGGTTTTAGGGTGTGCTCGACCGGGTCTCAGGTTCAATACCCATTAGCAGCAATAAGCTCCTTGGGGCCATGTCCATACGAAGTGTTTGCCTTGGCTTTAAATGGGGCCCTTGCAAGTGGGCGGTGGGATTGGTCTCCCAAGATTGGTCGAGGTGCGCGTAAGCTGGCTCGGACACTTGATTATCAAAAAAAAAGAAAGAAGTAAAACCAAGCTCACTAGTATAAGGCCATCAACTAAATGGTTGTTTGCTTAGTTGGAAAAGTATCAAATCGACAAATTGTTGACTCCTTGGATGTTGTGCATTTTGTTTCTTGAGGAAGTATGTGAGGCCATGTTACTTGGAATATCGTTTTAGTTCGAAGAACAAACATGGTATGCCACATGTTGTAAAATGTGGTACCAAATGAGTGGGTTTGTGCAGATCATACTACTAAAATTTCAGGCACTTTTAATGTGAGAGCAATATTCTTTTAATACTTCCAGTATAATATTCTTTCAATTAATCATGTAAAAACCAATGTTGTGAATCCTGTAGCCGCTATTGTACCCTTTTTGCCAGTGGTATGGGATGTGTACTAGTACCAGTGTGTTTCGGTATACAGTTTCGGATTTTTCCTTATATATTCATGGATAAATGTATTTACATGCATCTTTGAATTATTACAATTATTTTTTTGTAGTTGCACTAAAAGAATCCACCAACTAGATTAATTAATTGATACTAACATTGTAATACACCAATAGGATGTATGCAAATTTATCTCATTGGTGGACCGCCCTCACTTTTCCATATGCGTCCACATTAGGTGGACTAAATTTTATCTCTATCCATCTCAACACAGAAGAAGCTTATAGAGCTTCATGCGCTCCGCACAAATTGGCACTGTGTCCTTTACAATCAAAAGGTTTCAAAACTTTAATCTCATTGCGTCCCTTATGATCTTGGGGATGGCGGTGGCGGTGGCGGTGGCGGTTTGCAAAATGTGCAAGACTCTGCATGTTGTTTGTGGCTGTTTATAACTATGCCACCATCAAGATCTCATTCTAGGTTTTTTTTATATTTTTTTTAATTTTATAATTCAGCTATTTGTTTATCAAACTATTCAATCTTCTTTTTGGGTTGTTGAGAAATCAGATAGATATTTGATGTTTTTCTTGTTTGATTGCTGAGAAATCAGTGAGATTTTTTTTTTGTTTTTTGTAAATAGAATTCAGTATGAGATTTGAGAACGAAAAGATCACGGTGACATTGAAAATATTTAAACTGTGGTTGTGAATGACATTCCTTTTTTTTATTAAACATTACATGCTTATATATAGAGAAGCTTTGGAGATGGATAAATTTAGAGCAACAAATTTGGAGATGTTGGGGAACTTGATAGAATTCAGTATGAGATTTGAACTGAATTTATTGGGAAAACCTTCCATGGTAGAATTCAGTATGAGATTTGAACTGAATTTATTGGGAAAACCTTCCATGGATACACCAGACAGAGCATTGGTACACCTGGAGCTGGACAAAATTTTCAGGTATAACTGGAATAGACTAAAATCTTACCCGAAACGATATTGGTCATTCTGTCTCGTTTTCTTGCCAAAACGGTATGTACTGGCTGGTACAGAATGGGATTGACAACTTTGGTAAAAGCACAATTTCAAAATGAAAATTCACACTAACAGAAATCAGTATTGGCCTTTCTTTGGGATTGCTTTTGATCACTAAATTCACTGTTTTGGAACAAAAGTGAACCATGTTTCGAATGGGCGTCCCGAAACCTAAATTACTAGGGTATTAGGGTAAACTAGGAACATTGATGTGAGGGGATTGATGTGTGAATACAAAATGGAAAATGAAGATAGCAGTTGCTGTTCAAGCCATTTTTTCCGCCCCATAAAAAAAAACATATTATGTATGCACTGATTACAAGGGTGCTATTTTTCTTTTGCCTCGCGGAAAAAAATTTATGCTTAAATAGTCGATGCACAGTAAATAAGATTTTGTTCAATTGACATATCAGTTCAACATTTAAAATGACAAGAAAGGATACTGGCTGCTTTATCAAGTTTCTTTAATACAAAGATATTGATAAAGTTACTGAATGTGGCTTTCGTTATGGAAGATTAGGAATGTGACTAGTTGAAAAACAAATAATGGCAGATAATTTAATGCCTACAATTATATCTTACCTCATCTACAGTGAATCTTTGATAAGTTATTGTGCTTCTAGATCGCCATGAGCCTGAGATAAAATTTTGAGCTCCTTGATCTTATTGAAGTCTTAATTCCCTTATTTTAGAGATTCACATATTTCGTTTGGTGCAAAGTTACTTATGTTGCCTGTATAAATTTTCTATGTTACTGCAAAGTTAGTGAGTGATCACACCCTCTCTCGTTCACATGCCCTTTGGAGCTTTCTCGTCCGGCATTACATTTCTCATCAAATATATATTATGTCTAAAACAAGTCATGATTTTCATGATTTTTTGGGTATCAAGGGTGGTGAAATAGCTAGTTAAACTATTAACTCAGGAAATGTGGAGAATGGAGTCAATGGACTTTGTTCCAAGGTTGTCACATGCTTTGATCAATGCTTCTGGGGTTTCCTGTATTTCATCAGCTTTTTGGCTAGTTTGAACTTTTTAAGTTTTTGCGGGTTAATAGAAGCTTTACACCAAAACTTGCTTGTTGATTAGATTAATATAATAAAATTAGGTTATTAGAATTAGTACGAAGCAGTGTCATGGTGGTTTAGCTCTTGATTGCAATATGATATTTTAAATTATGTGAAGTTTGAAAGCGTCAAGATTGTTTGGAGAACACATTGACCTATTGTTGATATATTCCTTTATATTTTGGGGCTACATGTATATATCCAGATAAATTGCTTTGCTCACTTGAGGTCAATAACACTTGTCTATACCACACTTTTTATTCTTCTCTGATTGCTCACTTGAGGTCAATAACACTTGTCTATACCACACTCATTCTTCTCTAATTGCTCACTCGAGGTCAATAACACTCATCTATACCCCACTCCTTATTCTTCTCTAATTGTTGCATATATATTTGATGACTGTTGAGCAGGGGACATTTCTTCCCTTGGTTGTCCCACCAACAATATTTCAAGTGGGCCTATGGTCAACATGGCTGATAATCCTTTGTTCATTAAAGGTAAATAACTTGTACTGTAAGACGTACAATTGGTATGTATGGATCTAACTTTTTTATAATTCATCTTAACTTGCTTTTTGTGTAATGTACAGATGTTTCAAGCTTTGGCTAGAGATCGACTTGAACGCTTGAATGCATCTCCTTCTGCAACTCCATGGACATATTTTCGTGTATATTCTGTATTATTGTTGGTTATATCTAGCGACTTGCTCTGGTACTACTTAATGCTTCTAATCTTTTATAAGTACCTTGCAGTTTTTTTTGGGTCTCTAATTCCTTTGATTTTGGAAATTTGTCTTTCCTGCATTATAATGTTGAAAACAGAATTTGCATTGGAAAGAAAACACGGGCCCTCCATTTCTGAATAAACCTGTGGTATGTAAAGCAGTCATAGTTTTTTGGAAACAAAATATGTTTTCTTTTGGAAAGGAAAAGTTGAACGGTCAAGCAAAAGTTAATTTGTAATACAAAGCAGAAGAAAATCAGAAACTTGTTTTGTTGTGCAAAGAAGCATTTTATTTTTATTCTCTTCTTTTGCTGGGAAATATCTTTGTGTTTTTTTACTTCAGTAAAACATTGTTTTATACTTCAAAGTGACTGCTTGAGCAAGAGGCAAATTCAGTCCCAAGACTCCCTACCACCACTAACAAAACTCATGGCTGGAGTAAACTTTGTTTTTCCCCAACAAGCTAGAAATAATTGCTATTTCTATTTTCATTTGCAAGTGACTGCTTCTCTGAAATGCATCCACATGGCCTTTTCAGTTTTCATTAGATAAAAATATCTCATAAAGGCTTTTGTTGCTCCACAATTGGATTTTTGTTGTGGTTTCTCCCTAGTGATCAAGGTGTACAGTGTCAGGGGTTTGTTTGGATGAGAAGTTCTAGATGTTGGAATTAAGTAAGAAGACAAATTTCTGTTTGAGTTGGTTGTATGCTGTTAAAGTTTGACTCTGTCAAATTCCAAATTCCAAATTCCTGAGCATATCATTCTCTCCGGAGTTTTACATGGGTGTTAATTTTTTCTGTTTGTGTATACTTGTCATTGTATTAAAATAGAACATTGTTCAAGAAGAAAAGAACAGAAAGATCACAAGAGTACTCGCATGAATGATAAAATATTCTAAATTGCGGCAAACTGTCAGAGTTACCAATTTATTTTTATCTCTGATCTAATATTCTATATGTGCGAAAGATCACTAACTGCAACTTTATGTTGTCAGTTATTTTATTAATAGACAGAAAAACTCATTAATCTTTATATATTTAGTCAGTTTGGGAGAAAAAGTTGAAGGACACTTCAATTTAGGATACTGTGATCAGCACAAATGTGTGATAGCTGAGCTTAATTATTATATAGTTGGACCAAGGTTCAAGATGAAATCTAAATGGAGGTAGGAAGAGACAATCTGCTGATTCCTTAAACTTCCAACAAATGATCATAGAAGTTAGGAATGATGATGTTTGAACTTTTATCTCTTGCATACCAAAGGAATTAATGTCCATGCTAGTTTTTTCACCCTCCAAATTTTCATTTGTTTCCTCTTAAATGTCTCCTGACTATTCTTGTTTTGTTTTAATTTTGGCTGCTTACAGGATAAAGCTATGTCTAGGGATATACAGCACATTAGAATCAGCTATGTTTCTGTTGTTATTCTTTGAGCCTCTCAGTATTGCCTTTGAGACGTTGCAGGTATTGTTGCCAGGAAATCTTCACTTTCATAATGGATATATATATATATATATATATAATGTAGGCCTATGTTGTAGCATTTCTTCATGCAACGTATAATAAACTTGGGTTGAACTCTTTGGCTGCAAAAATGTTCTTTGTAGGCTGTTGTGGTTCATGGTTTTCAGTTGCTTGATATATGGCTCCATCACTCGGCAGGGAACAGAACAAATTGCCAAAAACTCTTTGATATATCAGCAGCAGGTAGTTCTCAAATTCTTGTATGTATACATGTGTTTTTTATTGTTTTGTTACTTGGTTGTTGGGGTTCTCAGGCTCTTTGGTCCCATAGGTCATTTTCTTTTCTTGTCTGTTCGGAGCTCCCAAAATGGTGAAATGATATTGCTTTTATTTGTCTGTTCTTTATTTTGTACTTCTTCTAACTCAATTTTTGATGACCTTGCTTCTTCTTTTTTTTTTTAATCCCCGAACCCCCACCCCCACCCCCAAAACAAAAGTCATTGGAATCTTTGCTTATAAAAAAATAAAATAAATATGAGTCTCTTCCTTTTTGCATATGGCCTCCCCATTCTACAAGCCTAGTCCTTCAAGCTTAAGAGTAATTCCAGGGTCAACAAATTCAGCAACATCAGGAGAGTTTTCAGTAGATTCCTATGCAAAAAAGAAAAGAAAAAGTCATTCGATTGAATAGTTAAAACACGTTAAGGCAACAACAGGAGTATTATTATCTGTTAAAAGGGAAAAAAATAAATGAAAAGGACAAAATAGCCCTTGCTTGGTGCAGTAGTAAAAGCTTGGGCTATCAAACATGAGAGTGTAGGTTTGAGTCTTAAGTATCCACTTCAGGCAAATAATACCAAATGTTATCGCTCTCAGCAACCTGCATGTGCCATTGTTGAACTAACACTAGGTCATTTTGTTCTATGTTAAGTTGACAAGTTGACAAAAAGCGGGGGAAGAATGTAGGGGAATACTTGACGGTGCACATAAACTGTTTTAGCTATGCCTCAGCGTGCTGGAGTAGTGTCATTGTCAAGAAAGTTGTGTACCAGTCTTCATTTCTTACTTTGAAAGGTTTAGATGGTTGTGATTATTTTAACTTTGACTTGTTTTTAGTTGGCGGGTTGTCTTGGCAAAGTTCATTTATTTTGTTATCTTGCTAATAAGGCTTTCCATGATTCTGGCCAATTGTCTGTTTTCTATTCTTATGTTTCTTGCTAAAGGTCAATGATACCTCTGATTCTTGTGGATGGGATTTTTCATTATTTTGTGGATGGAATTTGTCATGACTGCAGGTTCATTGTGGGAATGGAAATGCATTATTATCCGGAACTTGGGTTTTTTTCTGGACATGATGACGTTGTTGATGGCACTTGGCCATTATGTGCATATTTGGTGGCTTCATGGCATGTCATTTCATCTTGTGGATGTAGTTCTTTTCCTAAATATACGTGTAAATATTCTTGCTACTTTTTATTGTGATATATCGACAATTCATTTGATTTGCTTAGTTTTACATTCCTATTTTACATTTGTTTTTGTTAATTACTTCATACTTTGGAACAGGCCTTGTTAAGTGCAATTGTAAAACGTATCAATGGATTTATTAGATTGAAGATAGCTTTAGGTGCCCTTCATGGGGCACTTCCTGATGCAACATCTGAAGAGATACGGGCATATGATGATGAATGCGCTATATGTAGGGTAAGCATACTAGCTTGGTTCATTCCTCTTCTCGGTTTGATTTTTCTATTTGTCTCTGAGCTTTGATGGGTGGGAAACTGACAGGAACCAATGGCAAAGGCTAAGAGACTATCGTGTAATCATCTTTTCCATCTTGCATGTTTGAGATCTTGGTATGACTTGTTGTAAATGCTCTTTGTATGTGAATTGCCATTGTACAAAGTTAATGTAATGCTGACAATGGCAGTTCAATGTTAGGTTGGATCAAGGTTTAAATGAGAATTATTCATGCCCCACTTGTCGAAAACCACTTCATGTGGGCAGACCCGAAGGTGCAACAAGCCCTCGTGTAGTAGATGTTTCAACTGATGAGCAACTTGCCCATCAAATAAGTTCCGGACTTGATCGGCATAATCCTCCTAGTCATACCCTGCCCACAGGAGTGTTCCCCAATCAGATGCAGAACCCTTTAGAAAGTGGTACTTGGAGGTTTGTATTCTTATATCTCATGTGTATGGTTACTCTTCGGTGGATGCCATTCCTCAAGACAGATGCTTTTTGCTTATAGCTAAGAAAAGCACCTCTTTGGAATATGGTGTGGCAATTCATAGCTTTTTTCAGTGTTTGATTAGTTGCTGTTTTCTCACATTTTTAGTTGGGAAAGAGAGCATCTCGCTTCCTGCTTTTGCAAGAAGAATTTTCCAGCATGCATAGTTCTACCTTTTTCGAACACAAAAAGCCCTGAAGTAATAGTTTTCCATACAACAAATTTTTATTACATGTCACAAATTGAGTTTTTTAAGGATAGGTCTGTTTGGTGCAGCTTATTATAAGCTAAAAGCTGATAATCAGAAAGTAGAAACCAAAAGCACCACCCAACTTCTAGATAATCAGCTTTTTTTTCAGCTTATTTAAGCTATTTCTACCTAATAAGTTTTAAGCAAAAGCTGCACAAAACAGTCTAGCACAAACTGCAAAAATGAAAAAACTATAAGCAACTTAGATAAGCTGCACTAAACAGCCCCGACATTTTATTGTGCAAGGTAAATAGCGAACTCTAGCTACTTACCCAAGATGATGAAAAATCACTGGTTAGCCTCTAGATTTGTTTTAAAGACCTGCTATGGTAGATTTGTTGCAAAGACCTGCTATAGTGATAATAAGCAATTGCAAGCACGCGCAGTTGTATCCTCTGTCGCTCCTCTTTCTACCACAACAATCCTTTAAACCAGTGTTATTTATTTATCTACTGCTTTTCTTTCTTTTCATTTTACATTTATAGGGGGGCAGGATTGGATTCGAGTTGGTTGCATACTTGGTCTGACCAAGGTCTGGATGGAGCTGGTCCATCTACTGGTACTGGGTCGGTTGGACTAGGGAGAGTTCAGATGATGATGAGGCATCTTGCAGCTGTAGGAGAAACCTATGCGCAGACTGCCCTTGAAGATACTACTTGGAGCCTTTGGCCTATGAATCCATCTCAGGCTGGTACGTCCACCTCACCAATTCCTCCTCCTGGTTCTGCAAGATACCCTGGAGGTGCTGGTGGTTTACATTTGAGGACTGCTTCACAGTCTGCAAATGATGACATAGCAAACATACTTTCAATGGCTGAAACAGTACAGGAGGTCCTTCCTCACATCCCAGATGAACTAATTTTCCAGGTATAATTTGGATCCAAGTTTTAACGTCTTTTCTAAGTTTCATGGTTTTCTAGCCAGGAAAAATAAGGGGAAGTTTCACTAATTTTTTTTTTTCATGGAACTTAGAGGTCGTTTGGGGTTGGCTATTTTTAGTGACTTTTTGTTTTTGATTTTTGACTTTTTTTTTGTAGAATTTAAAAAAGCTAATGTATTTGAGAAGGTGACTGGCTTTTTGGCTTTTTTAGCGGATGATAGCCAGCTTACTTTTTTAGAAAGACCATTAGTCCTGAGGGGTATGATCATGTGGGGCATCAGTATAGTTTTTTTGTAGCTTCACATCCTACTTTTTCAGCACACATTAAAAGTTTGTTATTAGTGGCTAGAGTTACAGGGATCTCTGTTGTTTTTATCACTATAAGTCTGTTATATACTGTTTAGTTTGTTTTTCTTTATTTCAAAATATAACAATTTAAGTATTTGTTTTGAAAGAGAAGGGATAATGATGGTAAAGTAATGAATTAAGGCTTAAATAAAGTGTTTTGCTAGCATTTTGGGTTTTCTCCAGCTATCCTGTCAAATTAGGATCAAATTTAGGTGTTTTTGATTTATAACTTGTCTATAGTTCCAGTGGCCGCTTTGAAAGCCAGGTTTACAGGTTCATGACTCTATATTTGTAGGTGGAATAGTTATGATTTATTATTTACCAAAAAAAGAAAAAAAAGAAAAAGGAATAGTTGTATTTATTGTGCATTAGTACACTATGTGTGAAGTTCCTTTGACTGAGTGGGTAAAGTTCCTTTGAGTTCAAATTTCATTATCATTGTTATTAGAATTGCCTAATTAGTTAAATTGGATATTAAAATGCATCAAATTCTTCCAGGATTTGCAGCGAACAAATTCTGTTACTGTTACTGTGAATAATCTGCTCCAAATGTGACTATGATGACTTTTTCTTTCGTTGTTATGGCCCTTGCTCCAAGTGCCCAAAGAAGAGGCAGGCCCAACATTTTGAAAGTTTTGGAGACATTCTAGAGGTTCTCAAACGACCTTGCAGTCTGGTTTCTTTCGCCATGTTCTGTTGAATATGTACAAGCATCAATCTCTGTACATAGAGGCGGCTATGAATGAAAAAAGAATGTACAAATATAGCTTTTTTCTGGGGAAAATATAATAAATTTGCTCTCCATATGTATGAATGGGCAAGTTTGTCTGTTTTTGTTTTGTTTGTAAATCTAATTTTGATACTGGTTGTTATTGTGATCCTGCTAAATGTTGTTGTATTCTTTTTGCCACTATGATAAATGGATGCAGTCTGTTGTTGACTAGGGCTTGATATCAGATGAGTGAATGAATGAATATGCATCAAATTTGCCAGTGTTGACATCAAGCATGAGTCTTCTGTTTTTCCTAATTTGGCTGGCATTGTTACAGACAGTTGTTTCTTTGAATTTATTACACCATCCACAAGTGCACTTAGAAATGGAAAGGTTTGCTATTTGCTGTAATCACGGCATGGGGTCACGGAAACAGTCTCTTCAAAAATGGACGGAAGGCTGCATACAACTTGTCCTTCATTAGCTCTGCTTTATTTTGTATGTCTTCTTGTTTTTCTCCCCCTTTTATTGTATTTAAAATTTTACAGTCACAAGTGCATTTAGACACTGCATGCAGTTGACATGAAGGAGATGACAATGTAATCCGATGAGAGTATTATATTCACTTTACACCCTATAGTTTTTGTGTTGTACCAGCTCTGATTCTGCTTGGAAAATCCTGAATATGCAGGATTTTTTAGCAATTGTATTTTTGAAATTTCACCTTGATGGATCCCAAGAACTTTGTACAAAATTTTCTAATTGTGTAGAGGATTACTTTACTTGCTTTCACTACTCTTTAGCTACTTGTCTGCAAGTGCTTGGTTAGGCTGTGTTGTGTTCACATTATTTTTGTATAGAAAATCGACATTGAAGAAAAATCTTTCCCGCCAGCCAAACAGAGGCATTGCACTGCCTTTTTTCCTAGGTACTCAATCAAAGTGACCATAATAACTCACTTTTATGAGCAGGATTCGTGAAAATATGTTTTTCGAATTTCTTACATGATTATAGAGCTGTTCAAGGCATCCCGATTAATTTGTGAGTACATGTATGTCTAATTTCTTACACTAAGAACATAACAAATTATTCAAGTACTAATTGCCGCTAAAGAGTAACCCAAATGTGTATGTATTGAGTTGGAAACGCCATTGAACGTTTTGTGGCTTTGGGATGAACCTTCTCGTATATATGTGATTTTATAGTCGACCCACTTTACATGTATACTTAGGTCTCGTTTGGGAACTTTTATTTTTAGTCAAAAAGTCAAAAAATTATTAAATTAGTTAAAAAGCAAACAACTCATACTGAAAAGTCAAAGATTTTCTTCTCTTTACTTTTTGCACATCTTTTCGTAAAAAGTCAAAAAGTCATCCCAAACATACTAGTTTTTTTTAGTTCATATTTTAACCAAATAGTCAAAAAGTTATGAAATATACTTAGGCCTGGTTTGAAAATTCTCATTTTTAGTCAAAAAGTTATTAAGCCTCCGTTTGGGAAGTGGGTTGGCTTTTTGGCTTTTTGGCTTTTTTGGCTATTTTAGCCTGGGCTTAAAAGCTTGGTTTGGGAAGGGCTTTTTGGCTTTTTTGAGTTTTTTTGTGAGAGAAGAATGTAATGATTATGGGTTGGATGTGATGTTTTGTTTGTTATGGTTAAAATAGTCTATTTTGTTTTTTGTGGCTAAAATAGCCAAAAAAGCCTCCAACCCACCTTCCCAAACGGTGCCTAAATTAGCTAAAAAACCAACAACTCATACAAAAAAGTCAAAGATTCTATTTTCTCTCTATTTTTACACATTTTTTTTTTTTGTAAAAAGCTGAAAAGTCATTCCAAACATATTAGTTTTTTTTAGCTCATATTTTAGCTAAATAGCCAAAAAATTACTAAATTAGTCTGTTCTCAAACAAGGTTTTAATTAACATTTAAAAAAAAAATAAGTTATTTTAATTAATTATTTTTTTTCTTAAAAAAAATCTTGACGTGTTTACTAACTAACATGGGACTATGTTTGGCGGTGCTTGTGTGTTTTATTAAATTGGAATTATGTTTGTTAATGACCCGTTATTATGGGGGACTGATTGCCTCATTGATCATCTGATTATTGTATCAAAATAATAAAAAATAAACAACACTGCAGCAGAGAGACAAGGGCTCTGGGGAGACCAAGAATGCTGGACTTTAAAGAGACCAACTGACTTAGGGTTTGGGGACACTGTCCTCTCCTCAAATCCCAAGCTCTAATCCCCAAACACTTTTGTCGCACAATGGTTTGTCCATGTGGTCGCAGCTTCAAAACGATTTTAAAATAACATCCTTTTTTCTTCTTCTTTGTAAGGTTGTTTTAGAAAGATGATTATAATCAATTTTTTGATTAAAAATCGGATTATAAACAGCTTCTTGTGAGAGAAGTAAGTGGGTTATAATATGAGAAATGGATTATAATCCACTTTCCAAAATAAGGCTTAAACTATGCAGTTTTACCACATGCAAATGAGATTTACAATCAAAACAAATGTCTTCTAATAATATTTTTTGTTTTTAAAATATATATATATATATATATATTTTAAAATTCATTTTATTTTATTTTATTTTTATATTTTATTTCAAGAACATTTGAAAGAATTTGCTAGGTAATTTCGTGTCATCGAATCTCTCTAGAAATTCTTCGCCTATTGCCATTTTATTTTATGAAAATGAAATTCAAACTGTCATGTTTTTATTTGTTGCATGATGACATTTAAAATTCCTAGAAATTATATTCAATATATTTCTCAATTTCAAGTCTTCATTAAAATAAATAAATAAATAATAATCCAAAAAGGTTATACAAGTAAGACTAATACTACAACAATCATATCTCCTTTTATCACATTGCATGTATTATCTAATCATTAATTCAATATTTATAACAATAATGAACGCGACATGAATGTCATTAATATTCAATCAATGTCTATATTTCCCATCAAAATAACAAAAAAAAGTTGGTGTGCAATGTATATTGCAACCCTATCACAAAATTAAGTTAATTTTCACGAATTACATAAGTAATCTCACCAAAATATGTAAGTTGAATGTAAATTCACAGAAGTCTTAAGTTTTCACGAATTTAAGTGTTCATTTACCCTGTTGGGTATGTGCTGACATATGATTTGAACTTATTTCTTGGTGTCAACCTAATTGAGATTGGAGAGTTTTGCTATGAAGCTTTGTGCACTTCCCTCTTCTTTGTTGATGTATTTCCATATGTGCTTATGTTGATTTCATCAATAAAGGTTTTTTTTTTTTTTTTTGCTGATAAAAAAAGTGTTCAATTTACCCTAATAATAAAGTGTACACACTATACACCTTCAAATAGAGATGAAACCAGAATTTTATCAATAGATAGGCTGAAATTTTATTCAAATTTGTTCACACCATACACAAGTGCTCGCGCACGCACACACATAATTGATATGTAAGTTATATAAATAAAAAAAATAAAATTAAAGACCATGTAAACAATTTTTGATTGGGTGAATAAGCTGTTTTGGTACATAATAAATAGAGAACGAGAAGAATTATAGTGAGGGGTCATTGTACTTATAAAAATGAAATATACATTTTTTAAAGCATTAAAACAATCAGTATTCTTATAAGCAGGGGAATCATAGTCCCCTATAATCTTTTCTTAATTTTATCCGGATTTTTAAGAGATGCATATGTAACATTTATTGTAAATTTATAAACTAATTCTATGGTAAAATTTTATTTATTTTTTATTTTTACCTATTGAATTTAACTAATGAAATGGGAGTGAGCAAGACACGGAGCCAACAAGCATGAAATCTAGAAATCAAACAGACAAAAGAAATGAAATGAAATGGGATTGCCTCTCTAACTACTTCTGTTTTCACTTTTTGACTTCTTCTGCTTGTTTTTGGGACAAGATTTTCATCTCCCCAACACTTTTCACTGTGGCCTATTTTAATATATTAATACATGTCTGTTAATTAATCAAATGATCTACTTATTTAATTATTTAATTTTGAAACATGGAAATCCATTAAACAAGGAAAAGAGCAGAATTACAAAGCAGAAAATGACAAATCAAAAGAGAGAATAGATTGAAGCAGCCTTGGGGGAATGAGAGAACCAGTTTGGGGACACTAATCTAGCATTAATTTGGGCCTCTTTGTCACTCACTTATATAAGTGAGTTTATTTGATTTTGTTAACCCAATTACTTAAAAAAGCTATTTTTATCATTTGTCACATATTAAAAAGTTATTTCTAAAATAGGTTAAAAAGAAAGTCAAAAGGTTTAGTTATATTAGTCAAAAAAGTTTTGTTACTTTTGTTATTTTTACTAAAAAGTCAAAAACTAACAAAACAAATAACAATATGATTTTTATTTTAACTATTATAAAAGTTGAAAAAAAAAAATCATAATTGTGTCAAGTAATATGATTTTGATTTTAGTTTTGACTTGTTGGCATAAATATATAGACTATTCATTTGCTTTGATTTTAGTTTGACTTGTTGGAATATGTAGACTATTCATTTGCTTTGATTTTAGTTTTGGTTTGCTGGCACAAGTATATAGACTATTTATTTGCTCTGTGGTGGATGTCTCTTTATATACTTGCATTTATTTTGTGACTATCACTCTCTAAATTTTCAAAAGAGAAATGCTATATATATATAATAAAATAATAAAGAGAGAATTGCAAAAAAAATGATATCAACGCAAAATAATTATAATGTTATGGCAGTATAAGCAGTTTATACATTAAATTATGCATTAAGTCTTGTAATTTCATCTCTTTGTAATTATTTTAAATTTATACCATTTTTCTGCAATTGTCTCAATAATAAAAGTTGATTTTAGAAAAATATTAAATGCACTTTTATAATTTTTCTTACTATTAGATACAAAAGTAATGAATTCTACTATCTTCATGTTTATTGGTAAGTGTAACCATAGTATTGGCCTTTGGTTTTATCGAGCCAAAAAATTCATCAAGTAACTTACATTTTCAAAAATGTTGCTTCTCATATTTTTTTTGGCACTGTTACGTAGCTCGAAAATCAAATAGCTCGAATTGCTTGAAATTTCAAAACGACGTCGTTTTAGGGTGTTTTTTGATTCTCTTACCGGTAAGATAATATTTTCAAGCCATTCGAGCTCTCACGCATTTTCCTATTTTTTTAGTCATGAATTCTACATAAAATTTTTAGAACATACTTTTACTTCTCAAAATTGTTGACTGGCATAAAGTGATTAAGTCCAATAATATGGTTTCAATAGTTGTTAACATAAACAGTGGGGGCAAATGAAATGCATTTGTAATTTTGTATTTACATTTTTTGATGATTTGATGATTAAGGCCAAGTTTGGCAACTCCAATATAATCCATTTTTTTATTTTTTTATTTTTTTTTCAGCATATCACCTCTCTACTTTTCTGCATATCTTTTCATAAAAAGACAAAAAAGTACACTTATTTAGGTCATCCCAAACAATCCTTAAAAAACAATTTAACGAATGAATAAAATTACTTAGCAATTTAAGCAATTAGTTATTGCATGTAAAAGACTTTTAAAAAGAAAAAAGTAACAAAATTCACGTTAAATGAAACGTACAATTTATATAATAAAATAGATAAGTAAGTAAGTAAGAATCAAAAAACATCGTGGAACTGAAAAAAAATTATTTCATACCTTATCCCTAATGTGACATTGTCAAGTCAATGCTTTTGAAATAATGAATAATTGCTGTGATTTGAATAAGAAGTACAGTGGATTGATTCATTGAGACGTGCAGATCGCCAACCAGCTTAGGATATATCTCTCTTGAAAAGTTATATAGGGAAAATAAGTAGACCCCACAACAGGTTGGAAAAAACATTTGTCCCCTACCCATCAAACTACGTGTTCTTATTATTTATTTTTATTTTTATTTTTATGAGTGAAAAAAAAAAGATATTATTAATGTTTACTAAAAGTTCAACTTAAATCAGATGCGTACGTCAATATTCTTTTCGTTTCAAAATATTAATTTTTTTTATTGTCTCAAAATATTAATTTTTTTTTCAAAAATTAAGGATTAAAATAATATGAATTTCTTATTTTGCTATTATTTTAAATTCATAAATAACATAAAAAGTACACTTATGACAATTGATATTTCTCAAAAAATATACTATCAAACGATAATTTTGAAAAATTAATTTTTTTAAAATACAATAATTACACTATTAAAAAAAGTTAAATTCTCTAAAAAAAAATTATTATTTTTGGGACAGGGGGAGTAACAACAGGAGTTAGGATCCCCTCCTTGCAACTTCTCCTTGCAATCCTTCTTGCAACAGCTGAGATCAGCCATTGCAACATCCAACGACTGATTTCAATTTTTTTAATTTTATTTATGTATTTTTTTATGACTGTTGGATATTGCAACAGCTGATCTCAGCTGTTGCAAGGAGGATTACAAGGAGGAGTTGCAAGGAATGGATCCGGACTCGTAACAACAGTGGGCAATACAACGTATCATAACAACATCTCATTATTCTAACTAAATTGACATAGAGAATTGTGCTCAATAATCTGATCATTAAGCTTAAATTACTTAAACTGAACAATATATAATTCTTCTCTTTACATAAATGTGTATACGTAGAGCGTAAATTAATTATATCATTAGTTTGTATAATTTAAGCAAAATATTATGTTAGTCTTTATAATTTTAATTGAAACAATTTAAACTTTATATTTTTGATTTTATTACAATTTTGCTCCTCTGTTATGCGCTATTAACATTTTAGATGGAATAACAATATGCATAAAACTATAGGGATCAAAGTGAAATTAAAAAAAAACAAAAATTAAAGTGAGCACTGATGTAATTTATTTGTTACATTGATGATCCGTATAATTTCTTTTGAATTCTATTTTAATCTTTTTAATTTTACATGTGATATTTTTTTTCATTCAAAATTTTAACACTAAATGGCAAAGAGATAAATTGAAAGCATGATGTTCAAATTACAAGGACTAAAGTAAAGTTTCACTCAAACAAAGGGATTAATAGTGTAATTTATCCCATATATATATATATATATATATTTATATCAATTATACTAGAAACTCATAATTATACCCAGATAGACTATAATTATCAATATATATGATTGAGATTCAATTTATAAATACATTCCACAATATACAATCAAATCTCAGCCATTCATTTGTTTTGCAGGTTATTCGAATCGGCGCATCATTCAAACTGCATTGCAATTTGATGATTGTACTTGTTTGTGTTCATTTTGAGCACCCGAAGTCCTTGGTGGGCAAATTATATACGAAACAAATTATGACAGTAGTCTTTATATTTTATTTTTTGTGTCATTTTAATCATTATATTTTCAATTGGCTTGATTTTTTCATAAATTTATGATTTTGTCTTAATTTAGTCTAATTGATTACAACTTTTAACATTTTTTATGGAAAATACACACACAAGTGTTGCGTACCATATTTTTAAAGACAAAAATTATAAAATTACTCAACTCAATTCAGTCAGTTAATCTCAACTAATTTAGTAATAATTTTTCTTTAAAACACTAACGATATTATTAATTGGACTAAATTAAAACAAAATCTATCAGATTAAAGTTTAAAACTGAACTAATTAAAAATATAAGAATTAAAAAAATACAAAAATTAAAATATAAGACGGCCAACATAATTTGCCCTACTATGTGCTCCATTTCTTTTCAGTACAAAGGGTATAAGAGCATTAGGAGGGGGGGAGGGGGGCAATATTTGGTGGTGAATTGAAAGTTGGGAGGAGAGGAGAGGAGACAAAGGGAGGCCATCCCTACCCCTATTTAACCTTCTCCATACGTCTCATCACTCATTAATCACCTGCATGTTCTCTGGAATTCCCTCTTTTGTCTCTTCGAACTCCTCAAATTTGAATGCCCCCTCCACCCTTATATATAGTTCAGCTTACACAGCTGCTGTAATACCCATAAGCATATATTTCCAAGCCTGCCTTGTTTGAGTACTTGAGACATTGTAACCCATAAAAACTAGTCATCTTTTCTTTCTCATCATGTCCATCATATCTTCTCTTTTCATCTTCTGCTTGTGTCTTTCCTCTTATGCATGCAATGCTCGACGAGTTGGGGTCACTGATAATGGAGGTTTTGACAGACAACTTGTTTCTCCAAGCAAGGTTAGTTTCATTTTCCTTTTGCAGAGATGGAATCAAGATTTCATTATTCGCACGGTCAAAGAAAAAAAAAAAATTTCACCATATAAACAAAACGTATATGTATGTATAATATGATATATATAAATTTAAATACCATAGAAGCAATTTCTAATAAGATGAATAAGTTTTTTTTTTTTGTGTGTGTAAAATAAAAAGAGAATTCAAGATAGAAGAAAAATGACATATATATATTTTTTATACTAGAGAGCTATTTTATATATAAATAAAATGATATAGATATTTTTAAAGTTCTATGTCAAACAATGATTTTCACAGAAAGCTTAATTATCATATACAAAACATACAGATTTGCGAATATCTCTGTTGTTAGTATGTCTCAAATTCATTTTGGATTTGCCAATCACACGACCTAATTTATGGGTAAATGGCCAGGTTTTAAGGTTGTTTGGGTATTCTAGGGTTTATGAAAAGTGTCACACACATTTGTAAGGGCTAATGTGAATGGTAAGTCCCAGGTAAACAACTAAGAGGTTTTAGGTTCATGTCCATGTCCATTTGATACGTGACATTAGTTAGTGTTCGCACATATTCTGTGTTTTATTTTACCCCGATTTTACTGAAAATAGGGTCTGAAAGTTCGTTGTTATAAAAAAAGAAAAAAAAGAAAAAAAGAAAAAATTTGGTAGTATCACACACAGCTTCACATAGGAAGCTATTATCTAATGCTATCTCGTGAAAACACAAGAGCCAGAGGCATTGGCAGTTAGAACACCAATTTGAACCTTGGCCTAAGTTTGGTTCCAAGTGTAGCAGTTGAGATTCCCCAGCAAACAGACACATAATTCCCAGTTTTTGTGTTTGTGTTTTCCCATATTCCTCCAGTCCGGGCAGAAATTCTTGCTCTTATGTCTTCCACTAATGGGGAGGATCTCAGTCCTCACAAAAGAGTCCTACTTTTTTCTTGGTTCTGCTTCTTCTATTTCTTTCAGAACAATTATGGTATATTGACACTGCCAGTCCTCACCAAAAAGTCCTCTACTTTTTTCTTGGTTCCGCTTCTTCTATTTCTTTCAGTCCAATTATAGTATATTGACAATGCCAGTGATAATTTTAGAGCTGAAAGTTTTTCATTTGACATTTCTAGATAAACCAGTGTCATTTGTAAGTATTGACACATTGCATTGCAACATCTACCAATTAATAGCTTTAAATGAGATCAGGTGGGTTTCTTGGTCAATTAGCTTTAAATAAAATCTTTCTTTCGCTGATCAAAAAATAAATAAAAAAGTGAGATCAGGTCCATTTCTTTCCACCCATTTGGTAGGTGAGGTGACACATCATCTAGTGTATATTAACACAATAGCATTAATTATTAACCAATGAAAAATCTCATATTACGATAGTAAGAATTACATAGTTGGATTAGTGTAGTATTTGTGAAATTTTATTGACTAATGACATGACACTACTTACAATGGTGTCACTGTTGCGGTCAATAGTATGATTGTGTAATGTGATGGTGGTGTGGGTGCAGGTGAATGAGAAGGTTAAACTCACTATTGATCAAACTAAAAAAGGAGCAGAAAATAATGCGGATAGCATTGGTGATGATCAGAGGAATCATAATGGTGCAATGGTGACTCAAAAGCCTAAGGAATGGAATGACTTTGAGAAGGAAATGAAGAAGAACAAGTACACTGAAGAAGCAATTTCAGGTTCTATTCCATTAAAGCCTCTTGTTTCAGTTTCTAATTGGCATCTCCCCCACAATCACAAGAACGTTGTCGACGACCATCTTGGGTTTCACTCGGACTATTCGCGGCCAAGGACACGGCCACCCTCTCACAACTGAAAATTTTCTCCCCGTTTCCCCTAAATTTTATCCTCATTTTCTTTTGACTGAACTTGCTTTTCTTTTATGCCAAACATCCCCTTATATACTTTCCATAATAGAGAAAGAAGAAATGATATAATTATCAGTTGGATCTATGGACTCAGGATAATTAGTACTAGACTAATCATGACAACTTTAAACATAGTTCATTGTAATTCAATTTTGTATGACTGATATATATTATATGATTCTATTTTTTTTTATTTTTTATATCCTAAATATTGTTAGGCTGTGCTTAATTTATTGGAATGAAAATAAAAAGGAATGGCATGATTATTCCTTAAATATGTTTGATTAAAAAGAAAATTTGGTGGAAAGTGAAGTGAAAGGGAAAAAAAAATTGTAAGCATTATAATTTGGAAATTTTGAAAGAAAGGGATAGAAAATTTTAAAATTTTAATTATAGATCATTTTTATATAGACAAATTAGATTTTCTTGTATGTTGCCATGTTTTTTTGCAAGAAATTATAAAGTTAGTTACAATAATAATATACAAGAAAATTATTATTATTATTATTATATTTTTTACCACTTTCATATTAAACACATAAAAATTTGTATTTTTTTTTTCTTTCTTTTACTTTCTACCACTTTTATCCTAAAGGAACTTTTACTTTCTACCACTTTTATCCTAACGAACTTAGCCTTATACTGCATATGGAACGCTTATTTCTTATAATAGTGAATAATGATATACTTCTAATATGTTTTTCATCAATTTTTTTTTAGTAAATCAAATGTGATAATGAATATTTTAATAAAATTATCATTTCATTCAATTTTTATTTTAGTGATTAATAAAATTATCATTTCATTCAATTTTTATTTTAGTGAACTAAACACTTCCTTAGAGAATTTGTATAAGAACTAAAATTTGGAAATCTTGTAAAAATTTTGATAACTTAGTTTGATGTGAGTTATATTTTGAATGAAACTGATCCATTCACTTCATTCTAGGTAACTTTTCATTTTACTTTTTTAGACATCCTAATATAGTTCACGAAAAAATAAATGACAAATTGCATCTTTTATCTTTATAATTTGACCTAAATTTTACTTTAATTTCTATTATTTTAATTTGAATAAAATATCGACGTTGAACTTCAAATCCAATTTAAGTTTGGCCATTTGTCCAAACTACCAGCAAAATTTTCACGTATACTCCTCATGTGAGAAAATCATGAGTTTTAACATTTAATTTGGATATAAAAAATAAATTGAAGTTGGATTTAATATATATAATCTTAACATCTTAAATTAAAACAATAACCATAAGTATTAAAATGAAATTTAAATCAAATTATATAGATGAAAAGTCTAGTTTAACCCAAAAATATAATCAACCAAGAAAGATTTGTACATATATCCCATGCTAGCTTGTAGATACAGGGTTTGTTGATTGAATTGTATGTTTTAGTTTATTATATAGTTATTATGCTTGATAGAGATGGAACATTGCAGGAAATGAGATGGGTGAGGCTTCTTCTCACGTGGGTTTGCTAAAGGCAACAAAAATTGAGGTAAAAGTTACTCTCAACTTTTCTACTTCTTTCATATGGGCAATCAAAGAGGCTTTTAGATGACCTATCTCTCTCATCATGTCTTTTGTGACAATAACAAGGCAATAAAAAAATGAATACATGCATGCATATTAATATTGTGCATGAATATATGCACGAGGAGTCATCTCTTTGTAATGTTCCTATATAGTGTTTTGGACAAAAACAAAATAAAAAAGAAGACAACTTGTGCAATATTGTGGATGTGGGGCATGTATTTTTGTCTCCTCCAGTCATTTCTACTTTTTCATGTTATAGATTTTATATAAATTGAAGATTGAGATTCAAACCTAAGACTTTCGGTCTAAAAAATAATAACTTGATTACTTAAACAGCACACTATGTTTTTTTAAAATCAAAATCACGAAAACATATAGTCTTAAATTTAATAGCACACTCATCGGATAGGTGCACATCCACTAGTGAAAATAATATGGAAGTGAATCAATAGCAACAATTAAGTAACTAGAGATAAAAAATAGAAGCACCATTATGCTTTGCAATCACTGAGAAAACTTTGAGAAATATTTGAAATCAAACTCGAAAAAGCTGGTAAAACTAAAAATTTGAGGCCCTCAAACATTCAGAATGAATTGACAAAAAAATGGTCAAAACAAATAGTCGAATCGAATGTAAAAAAAAAAAAAAAAAAAAAAAAGGGAGAAAAAAAGGAAAAAAAATTTAATTTTTGTGAAACGGAGATGGTTAGGCGGTCCCGAACCGAGGCACACGGCCAACGGTCCCGAAAAACCGGAAACCGGACTCCGAAATGGGCAAAATGGCCTACGGCCACAAAA